CCATGCACGAAAATTTGATGAGAATATCCTTGACGTAATCGGGTCAAAGCTTCTATGAATACTAAGCACGTCCCCATGCCTTCGGTTTTTATTGTTTTCCCTCTGGTCCGAACGTACGAGAACTTCATGCATATGATTTGCATTTGTGTGGGACTTGGTGCAGCGGGAGAGCTGTGCAAATGACTGGCTCAGACACGCTTTGCATACAACCGCTAGTAGGACGATTTAGAAATAATATCAAGTATGTTATAAAGGGAACTATTACAAAAGGTGACTCATCGTATTGTGACATGCTGCCTGAAAGCCGAACTATAAGACGTCCATCACTAGTCAACGACTAGCAATTCCTAGGCAGCGAAGCCTAGGAAATCGTTTCCCCGGAAATTAAAGTCTAACAATGGGGTTTCCACCGTTACAAATGAATTGTCCGAAGCAGGCGGTATAATTTGAGAATAACTGTATTTTGCGAGTATAAGAGCGATAGTCCAATACATATTTGTTAAAATCCGGGACCCACAAGAGGTCTTGTCGCGTTGCCTAGGAAACACGCGACAGTATCGAAACTACGTCTCATAGTGAAGAACCCAAAGTTTCGTCATCGTAAGATTGGTAATCGTCCCACATAGTCTCTGCAATTAAGCGTAACACATCAAGAGAACCCAGTTGAATCATCTTTCTTTGCATACCCATATGTCTACAAAGTACCGTTTTTCTACTGTATTTCTAAAACAGAATGCATGAGTTTATATTTTGTCCCATACGTGCTTTCGCATCCCTGTAGCAGGCCGTGGAGGCCCATAGCGTTGTGAGATGTTGAGGTTCCCACATTTTCTAGACAATTGGCCCATAGATGGCGGTGAGGTTGTCAGCCTTACGCGACGGCCGCGCTTTACTCCCCAGGAATACTCCAAGAATATTCCAAGAATATTCCCGGTACTCATTTCTATTAGAGGCTGAGTCGACCTCAGGGCCATAGTGCGGCTGGAAGTATTAGGTCAACTGAAAAATCCAGTGATCTCATCGGGAATCGAGCCCGCGACCTTCCGGCTTGTAGCATAGTGCCTCAACCAACTACGCTACCGCGTGCCTTCGTAACGCCCATAAATTGAATGCGATACACAACTTGACCCACAGGGCGGTTCACAGCCCTGCCACAGCGTCTGCCTCGTTGTGAACTTCATTTCCGATCTCAAAAATTCTCCCTTGCTGTATATAATTGCATACTTCGTTAGATATATGTGTTAATTTTATTTTGACAGATGTTTAGCGTTAAACTGAGGCTCTGATCCAGGGAAATGCAAATAAAAACATACTTGCAGTGTGTCTGCACTTGGTGCGATATTGAAATGCCACTCCGGAAAGTTTATCGTAAATGGCGTAATCACGTACATAATTAATTAATTTCGGGGATTGTGCCTGGAGAAAATAGGGACAGTCAAGAAAAACCTGCGATCACGAAACGCTCTTCGGATTTTCGGGTTACGAAGCCGAATTCAAGCTTTGTCGCTAAGAATTCTGATAAAGTATGTAATTATACTCAATGTATATCGATTATCTATCGATACTGGCGATGCGAGTGATGAGATTATCGAGAATAGAGCCCTTGACTACGTCGCGCCAGGAAGCCCACTTTGCTGAGCCCAGAGCTGACGCGATAACACGGAAACAGAGTGAGTGATGTGGCGTAGCCAATGTCGCTCTTCGGACAGCCGCTGTAAAGCAACGGTGACACTTCTGAGGTAAGATTTTGTTTCCTACTTTCTCATAATGTTGCACGGCTCTCAATAAAGTCAATAAATGGGTGATTCGCGACAGGGAAGAGATTTTTCATTTCTCCACAGCCTCCAGACTGACTTTGGGCCCCATCCAGCCTCCTATCCATAGGGGATCGAGGGCTCTTACCCCTGGAAAGATGCTGACCGCTCACATCCATTTAATACCTAAGTTAAGAATGCTTGGAGCTGCATCTCAGCTCCTCCATACGTCTTCATGGCGTCATGCTTAATTAAACACAAAGACACTTTACATTGTCGGTGTTACCTGAAGAATAGGCTGTTGAGACCACCCCCCCTCCCCCACGGCTGGAGCTGATCACATCCGGGCCCAAGACGCCGAGACGAAGCTATGTTCCAACGAGACAGAAGTACATTGCATTGCACTTCGTCTGATTTCGTAGTGTCACACCGTGTCCTGACGATGGAAGCGTACGTTCGGGCAAGCTAGCACAGTGGTATCACGTCTGATTCTTACTCACGAAAACCCTGGTTCGAATCCCAACCCAGTACCAGATCCCCTGACAGAGTTCCCCCCATTCTACTCCACTCTCATGCAAAATTCTGGAATTACTGGGTCGTGAACTTTTGAGCTGTGCCAAAAGAACTCTCTGCCTCCACCTCTAAGCTATAAATGGTCCTACCTTGAAGATAGATGCAGCAGTTTATTCCGAAACGTTGGTAACCACTTATGAGTACATGGTATCATAACCCGGGACCATAGTGAAAGCAAACTCCTCAGATCCCCAGAAGAGTTGGCCTACCGTATTGTGAACACGCCGCGAACATTTCCCGCAATGTCTTCAGATTTATCTTCCGAATTTGGCGCTGCATTTCCTCAGCAGTGCATAGACAGTCGTAACATAACGATCTGAGTGCTCTCCTATGAAGGAAAGATCTTAATATAAGACAGGGAAGTTACAGTAAAGCAGTAAGCGCTACGCCGTGTCAGGTGATCTCACCTAACCAGCTTGTGTGAAGTGAAGTGGCCCATGTACGTCACCTGCGGTATCTCAGCCTGAGACAGAAAGTACTGCAACCGTAAAACCAAAAATAATATCGAGATTCTAACTGAAATTCAAAATTTCAGGCCCCTAGTAGACCTTCGTGGGTTTACTACTGCATTTGCGGTAATCCTGCAAACGCTGAGTCAGAGTCAGCGTCGCTTTATGACTGGCGGTTTACGGCCAGTCAGTCGAGATTCACAATCAGAGATTTTTTTTTTTGCAACTGAACCATTGCGCTCATAATCCTTATGTAAGTCGTCTCTGACGAGAAGATGGGTTTATCTCTTAAGAATATGCTTGACCTTGTGTACGGATCGCACATACAGCATGTTATTGAAAATTCTTCCTTTTGCACTACACACAAATCTTCCGTCAGCCCAGATTTTGCAAAGTAGGTCATGTCTGTCTCACTTATCTTATGCTACAACGGCAGCTTAGTCATTTGAACGGTCGTAAGCTTTACCACTGTTAAGTTTAAGCCTCTTGCATTTTCTGTGTCTGGCTTCACCTTGTTGCGAACATGTTCATTCTCATGATTCTGTATGACTTTTGCTTGTTACCTGCACAGTTTTGCTACTTATTTCTATACAAACGCAAGGTTGAAAGCCGTGTGCAAATCGCGGACCGATATGCGCCTTGGAAAATTTCCCATGCTGTGGAGAACCTTGTTTTGCAGGCGCTGCAATTTTAAGAGGTATGTGCCTGCCGCTCATTTCCAGGCGAGGCAACCATAAGTCATTACTGATCTGATCAGTGTCTTGTGGAGTGTTAGTTTAATACTGGGGCTTTAACGCTCACTTTTGAATAGGGGACAGATTCTAATAAGGTTCTGAAGGCCTTGGCTTCAGCCATTTCTATGTGTAGTTTCCTTGTAATTTTCTTATCGAAGGATACATCGAGATATTTTACATGATTGACGAAAGGGATGTTCCGTCCATTCAATGTAAGAGGAGCCTCAGGGGGCCTAAGTCTATGAGAAACGTGGATGGCCTGGCTCTTATCTTCATTGACTTTTATGTTCCGGCGCTTACGCCATGTCTCAGTAGTACCGAGACCTCGCTGCAGCTTTCTGAGAACAACCCTCTTTGCGGTCTGTCGCCTATATTCAGGTGTCATCAACACAGAGACCTAGATAGACACCAGGTTTCAAAGGTTGACATTGAGCTACATAATGTATATAAATTTCAGTCCGTATCTCACAGAAAACACACGTCTGCGCTACAAATCGCAACCGGTTAATGCTGTTTAAGGAAACAGTCGGTCTTGATTTTAGGACCATAAGAAGCACAAATACACTGTGTTGGCAGAATTGCAGAGTTTTGGTGTTGAAGCAGGTGTTACATATACTAACCACTGGGCTTCAAAGAACTAAACGTCAGATGGCTCGATGGCAAGGCATCTGTTTCCAGTCACATCTCGAGAGGCGATACACATATGAGCGATGTGATTGGAAGAGGGATAAAGCGACATCTCAGTGCGAGATAAAGTAACTTATGCACGACGAAGCTTCACTGAAGCCCCGTCATGTTTCCTGAATATGTAAGCCATCTAACGGCCAGAAACAATTGCAGTGCAATATAATGATGGGCTGTTCTGGTAAAGGGGGCAGACGAAGGTAGACGCCGTCTGCTTGGTTCTAAAGCTCCCCGTTTCAGCTGTGTTTAAAGTGCATTAAGACGCCGTTCTCAACAATAATACATGCAGGAGGGGATTTCCGAGTCTGCACTCTTAATGTAGTTTCATTTCTAACATATGTTAGTCATTTCCCGAGCTTGTGCGTGCTCCTGAGAGGCCATGGCAGTCTAGGGTTCGCACCTCGCAATACATAGCATCTGCGGACACTGGGAGGTTGTCACGTTACGTCACGGGAACACTGGTCGGCCTATTGCAAGACAGAAGCTCGCTGCCCCCACGCCAATGAGACTGAAGCAACCCTGTCTCAAGACAACAAGACGCAGGAGGGGGCAATGTGTGCATGGGCTATCAGTTTAATGAGACGGGGGCACGCAGTAATGAGATGAGACGCAATCACGCCACATCGTAAACACGCCGCAGCTGTGACTGCCCAGCTGAGTGCGCGGTAGGGGGCAGGGGGGAGCAGTGCCAGACGGCAGAGAGGGTCGATACAGCTGGCGGCCCGGCGCGAACCCAGGAGGGTGAGGTTCACCCAGCCACCGCAACTTTGCTCACTACGGACGCTATTTGCCTAGCAGCCACTCACCTGTTGTCACATCTTGGGGAGGCTGCTGTTCACCGTGGGTCCCGGTTCGATGCCATGATACACTGCCACGTCACAACCGACCACTCCGACCAGGCTATCGAGCTGCACTGAACTCGCCGGCGGTGGTCGGCGGTCCTGTCAGCGCACGCATCGCCCCCACCACCCGCTGCCCCTCCTCCTCCTCCTACTCCTACTCCCACCTTATTTGTTTATGTATATTTATTATTTGCTGTTCTCTATATTTCTCTCTTTTCACCCTTTAAAGCCCAGTGGTTAGTATTCGTACCACCTGCTTTAAGGCAAAAAGCTCTGCGTATTGCTCACACAGTGCATGTATGTGTTTCGTGCAATTCTTAATTAAACCGCGATAATTTCTGTCGGCAGCGTTAACCGGTTCATCTTTGCACGGGAGCCGTAATGAGATTCCTGTGAGGTACGAACTGAATTGCTATATGTACGATTAATGTAGATCATTTTGTCTTCTCAGTTCATGTTATCTACTAGGACTACAACTGCGGTTTCCGTCTTTTCTCATTTTTCAGCATTTGTGTATTTTATTCTGACCAGCCAGTATGCGGATTGTTGCCAATAAATCTGGTTTGTGCTCTGGAATTGGGTAGTAGAATGACCGCGGGCGGCGGGGGAAGGGGAAGCCAGGCACCTGCCCACACGAATTTGGAAAGAGAAGGAACTGTGCCAAATTAAAAAAACAAACAAACTCCGTGGCTTGAGTCCGCAAGCGAATTATACCGACCGAGCGACTGCCGCTTGTCGGCGAAGTTAGTGCCAACTTTTGCTGATAGAGGGTGTCACTTGGCCAGCGCAACGGATCCCCACGGCCGTTAATCTCGGTTTTCTAGACCGGAGCCGTTAATCTTCCATTCAAGTAGCTCCACAGTTATCCTCACGAGGCTGAGTGGACTCCGTTCCAGACCCACTACTTCTCAGAAAATCTGGTAGCGCCAGGAATCGAACCCGGACCTCTGGATCTGTAGGCAGGAACTCTGACCACTAGACCACAGAGGCGGTCGCTGTACCAAATATTAACACAAAATTATGAATAATTTTTAAAAACTTATTTTTTGTCGTGAATTCCACAAAATTAGTCTAAATCGCCTTAAGAGTAACTTCGTGGGAAGATTTTCTGGCTCCTCCCTCACTGAAAAATTGGCTGCACCCCTCCCGCCTGAAGAAAACAAGTGACGACTCGTCGGTAGCAGTGTTAAGTTAATCTGTAATTGCTTTACTCCATATTATGCCTTGTGTATAACGGCACCCCTTTTCGCGTGGAACAGCTGCCCGTCAGACTTTACGTGTCACCGAACAGGACCTCGCCAAGAGTTCCTTCAGCACATTTAAGAACTGCATAGCGGAACCAAGTCAGTTGTAACGTTAAGTTTGTGGAAGCCGGTGTTTCAGTACTGTTCGCGGCTAGCTCACTCTGTTTCACATGACCACGGTCTGTTTCTCTGCTGTCCCGTCTGAGGTTTCTGGCCTTCCTCAGTGCCGGGATCATATCTCGAGTAGGCACCGACGCTATATAGTCTAGATAATGACGGCGTCGTAGAATAAACCACAAAGGGCGTTTGTGTTACGTGCCTGCCTCACGCCCACCAGACGTCCTCTGTATAGGAAGCTCCGTGATTCAGTCGTGACACTTCCAAGGTAGCAACCGTGGAGTTCCTCATTACGCAGTTTCGGCGTGCGACTGTGAACTGTTAGTAGTCTGAACCAAGGAGACAGATTCCTCTGCCATCTATCGTCCTCTTCGACAAATAAGAACATTTATCTCGAGTTCGTATGACGCTATGATTCGTTTTCGCACGTAATGTAAAGTGACGAGTTCTCGTTAATTTTTTTTGCAAACCGACAGTTTTAAGGCGATAATGTGAAAATTTTGAGATTATGTCCAACGAATTTAACGTAGGCAAAATATGTAGTTTACAACGTTAAAATGTCTTCACAAAAATGAAATAAAATAAGCAATAATAAGGGAGAAATACATTTTTAGGATAGAATTCTGCGCAATACAACTTCGTCAATTCTACGCGGAACGCCTTGCGTTATTTTTCTGTTTCCCCCATCGGTAGAACGGAAACACTCCTACCTATTCCTACATAATCATCCTAAATTTTAGGATTTTTGTCATTGTCATATTTACTATACTTTCATCAACATTCTGAGTTGCAAAGCTATGGAATGACAAACGTGATATAGGAATATTAAGTAACTGATACAGCATCGTTAAATAACGAACGTTTCGATTCTGTTGCTGCTGTAACTTTACTGCTCCTCCACATTCTTCCGGTTTCGACTTGACAGTTTCCCTTCTCTCTCTCTCTCTCTCTCTCCGCAGTCTGTAATTTAATCAGCGTCTCTTCTCCATTCTCCCATGCGTGTCTCGTTTCCCTTCAGGGCCCTTGCACTGCCTTCCTATCCCTTTTTACCGTTTCTTTGTTACTGACGCCTCGGAGGTCCACATGCCACCTCAGACAACAGACATACAAAGACATATATGTACTCGAAAGGTCCTTGGATTGAATTTCGACATTGACTGATTCCCTTGTGGATTTCTTTCTTTCAGTCTCTCCAATCGACTATGGGGGCCACCGGGATGTTTTCCATATGGGAGGAAGGGTCAGCATAGGATCTTACTTACAAACTTACGATTAAGCCGTGTAAGGTCAATGTTTACTGATCGATTTACATTATTAATTGTAGAGGAATATATTTTCTAATGTAGTTTTAATTTTGAAATTAATTTGAGGCACTGTGATACAAGTCGGAAAGTCGCGGGCTCGATTCCCAGTGAGGTCGGTAATTTTCAATTTACCTAATCCTTCCAGCCGCACTATGGCCCTGGGATCGACTCAGCCTCTAAGAGAAATGAGTACTAGGAATCTTCCTCGGGGGTAAAAGGCGGCGGGCGCATAAGGCTGACAGCCTCAACGCCATCTGCGAGTTGAGTGTCTAGAAAATGTGTTAGCCTCGGCGTGTCACAACCATAGGGGTCTTCACGGCCTGTTACAGGGATGGCTGTACCTGTTGTCTTCCTCCATTCACTGGGTAAAGCACGCATTGTTATTTCAAGATTGTGAGCGGGGAACGTTTTCTTGCAACGAATTGCAGCTATTTGAATTCGAATTCCGTTCGGAACAGAAAGAAACAGACGGGAACGGTAGACACCAGAAGTGAGAGTCTATAAGACGTCGCGGAAATATGTTCCGGACAATTGCAGAAGAAATAATTGAGCCCTCAGGGTAAAATGTGCTATGATGCAAACGCTACACTTTCACACAAGCCGAATTCTATCGCAAGAAAAAGGAGGCTCAGTAAAGGAAACGAATGAAGTGTAGCATCACATACTCTTAACTGGCTCCGTCATAATGCAGATTTACGAAACAAATTGAATGGACCAGGAGCAGGCGTGAGAAGGTACTCAGATACTGTCCGTCTGTCACACAGGCAGAGGGACTCATATGTGGGGCCTCTGCCGAAGCAACGTAGGCTCCGTTCAAGTTAAACAGAGACCAGTTAAGATGGGCGGTAGGATTACTTACTGGACACTGCCACCTAAAAGGACAACTTTTCAAACTGGGACTCACAGATGACCCCACTTGCGAAATGTTCTTAGAAGACGATGAATCAGCCACTAAACTAAACTCCTTGGCTTTAGTCCGCAAGCGAACTATTGACCGCCTCTGTGGTCTAGTGGTCAGAGTTCCTGGCTACAGATCCAAAAGTCCCAGGTTTGATTCCCGGCGCTACCAGATTTCTCTGAGAAGTAGTTCTGGAACGGGGTCCACTCAGCCTCGTGAGGATAATTGAGGAGCTATTTCAAGGAAATAGCGGCTCCGGTCTAGAAAACCGAGATTAACCACCGTGGGCATTCGTCGCGCTGACAACGCGGCATCCTCTATCCGCTAAAGTTGGCACTAACTTCGCCGACAAGCGGCGGTCGCTCGGTCGGTATAGTTGAATCAGCCACACACCCCCTATGTGATTATGAGGCCATAACTTATTTAAGATTTCGTCACCTGGGCCAGTTCTTTATGGAACCGAGTGACTACTGTGACGCTCCCATAAATAGGCTCCTACAGTTCATTCGAAGTGTGGGATTAATAAAGGGTTAATCAAAGGGGAAGCACAATAGATCACTGAAGGTGGCAGTGCATGGGCAAGATTATTATGGCGCACCCTCATTCATTACTGTCCGTCTGAAAGACGTTTAGATCACGTGACACCATGAGTAGGCAACGTTGCGGAAGAAAAGCCCGGCCTGAGCGCTCAAAGGCATTTTCGTTATGACGGTTTGGGTTCCTGTCCTACCTTTAAGAACAGAATCTCGTAACATAATGATCAGAAATGCTAGTGCAATGTGCTATCACTATGGCAGAACATTTCGTAGCATAGTCTTGGGTTCGCGAGCAGTCACGCCGTTTTTGTTGGACGGTAGCCCACGTATTCATTGAGAATACTCACGGCGCCTGCAGTTCATTGACTAGACTGTACTGTCACACACCAACATGGGGGAAGTTTCAGCATCGGCACGGCGAAGTATCAACAGTGCTTATGTTATTAAAACTGATATGTGACATGGATTCTTGGTAGAGCTGCTAGCTGTCCGGGCTACACATAATTGTCCCCGGCCCAACTTACAAAATAGGATTAGATGTTTACATTTATGTCATTGCTCTAGTTTTCAGTTTTAACCTTTCTAACATCGAACAGTAGGACATCTCTTCCTAAGTTAGTCAGCTATGTTCAAGTTATGCATGAATTCAATATGTTGGCAGCACTGCAGTTTGGCATCAAGAGAGCTTTATTTAGCTTCGCTGTTGTGGCTATAATTGCTAATTTATGAACTCATAAATTAAATCGAGATTGTACAAATGAATTCAGATGTGATGTGTGTTTATATTCGTAAAGCAGAGAATGTAACTATTACATTATCATTGCTTTTGTTGCTTTTTATTGCGATGGGTGACTGAGGAAACCTACGGAAACGTTTGTCTCTTATAATATTTCTATTTCATAATTACGTTTTTTTTGTCATATTGTTCCTCGTTAGTAGCTAAAGTAAAACATGGAATTTGTTTTAAATATTAAAGAAAGATTCTAAAATGTGTTTTCTCTGCAGTTCACGCTCCCGCTTCTCCTCGAAGCCCCCCCCNTCAGGGGAACGGAAAATATGACAACTCCAACCCTTAAAGTATTTTAGGGGTGATGCGTCAGCTGTGTGGCTTGTTTAGAATCGGCTGATATGCGAAAACTGTCAGAGTAGAAATGTAGCGGGACGAAAGGGCATCACTGTACTGGCATTTTCTTGTGCCAAGGAAAACCACGTAAACACCGGGATCTCCCTTTTCTTTAGAGAAATCGGAATATAAGCGAGATGCTCGAATTGTATGTTAAACTGTTCCGAAAAACTGGAGATATCTACAAGGGCAAATAATTACGATTAAATATTATTTTGTTTAGGGTTGTTCGTCATACGACAACAATGTAGTGACGTGGGATGGGGAAGTAGTTCCTGTTCCGATGCGAGGTTCTGGGTAAACTTCAGTACAGGTCTCCCGTATACTGTGTTTGTCTTAGTAACTGAAACACATTTTCTCGATATTTTGAACAAATCAACAGGGCATTTATAAACCTTTTAGCAAATTGGCTCCGATAATGGCCCGATAGATACGTATCGAATTTGTATTATTTACGTTTGAGGAACCGAGCGGGTTGGCTTAGCAGTTACTCTCTAGAAAGGAATTCGGGAGTTTTTGTGGTTTTCTTCAGTCTCTGAAAGGAAATGTCGGGGTAGGACCACATTTCGACCAGGATTGCTTCATTGCAAATTCTTGCCAATTCAGCAATAACCCTACCATTCGGGTCTTTCTATTCTAGGTACTGACCGTACTGACAGACCCCTGAAATAGCATGGAATTTCATGGAAGCCGAGTTATACCTGCGTAGAGACAGTGACACAAACAGACGCAATCACCCACTGTGACTCTCATACGAAATCTGCTCACGATCCGTTGCCATGGGCCACAGTGAAAGGGCAACCGGAAGTTCCGCTTGGCTGCTCGATTGTGCACCTGCGCACTTGTGTCGTGCTTGTGCTGGAGACTTGAGGCAAGGGAACCTCAATGCAGGGCAGACACATTCTGTAAGGGAATGAGCCGGTTTGATTCGCCCCGCATGTGGAACGTGGCTTTGGTTACATAGCATCGAATTGTATAAATGGAGACTTTTGTGGGCGGAACCGATTGTGGACCGTAAAGGCGCGTCCACATTACTCGTGCTCGTGTGACTCGCTATGCTCGCTAGTAATGTGTACGATATGACAAGTCACGAGACAAGCAAATTTTTAATTTTTAATTTAAAAACTATAGCCAATAAATTAAAATACGACTACAGCCTATACACACTACGAGTAAATATACGGATCCTCACGCGCCGAAGCCTGGCGAGCAACTGAAGTAGTGTGGACGAAGATTTACGAGCACAAGTAAAAGCCAGACGAGTCTCCCGACGAGCACAAGCCTGGCGAGAACGAGCACGAGTAGTGTGGACGCCCCTTAAGAAAGACGAAGAAAAGGTTTGTGAAGGCACATTTCATAATGTAGGACTTCAAATTCCCACCGGCATAGGTGCAGTGTATTGTTTCTTTGAATCTTCGATATATAATTTTATTGGCTCTGTATGATACACATGAAACCCCAATTTATGGCCTTAAGTAAGAGAAGCTTCATTAAATACAAATGTGGCCGAAAACCGGGGTGTTCCAACAACTTGCAGTTAGAAAGAAGGAATACAATCTTTCCAGACAGACAGGCCGAATTGTCTGTCCTCTACATAGGGAACGTCTAATAAATTGACAATTTAGGATCGCACATACCGAGAATCATCACGGGCTGTACAGGTCACCTTACATTGTTACGACACTGAAATGTATTAGTCTACGATGGGCTGAAAATATAGATCGTATGAGACAAGAAATGTGTGCAGATTTTTTTTTTATGGAGAAACATCTTGAAAACATGTGGAAGACTAAGAAGGAAATGGTACGATAACATAATGAAAGTCTGGATTGGACTCATCTGGCACGGGGTTGCGCCCATATATGACCATGATATTCAATCATTATGTTCTGTGGCATAAAGAGACTGGTTTCCTAGCGGAAGATGGAAAGAGACCTTTTAGTTTGTACCGTTCTCTTCAAAGGTAAAGCTAAAGCTGTCCCTGTGCTTAGCTAAGCACTACACCATGAAGGCGTATGGGGGAGTGGGTGTATACATCCGCATTTTCTTTACCACGGCATTAGTTGGAGGTGAGTGGTCAGTTTCACGCCCCGGCCGCTGTACCCCTGGGAAAGAGCCCCCGCTACCCATTGTATAGGTGGTTGGGTGGACCCCAAGGCCGGTTTGGACCTGGCTTCAGACAGGTGGCGGCAGGTGGCGGCTAGTGTGGTCTTGCAGAGCGGGGTGTTGCAGATATACGCAGTTTATGGTGGCGGTATTCTGTTTGGAGCATGCACCGTCGTTATACATTTCACGCCTAGCACAACGAGCACAAACAAAAGTACTGGCACATCTTGTCATATATATGCACCCTGTCATTAATGGTGAAGTTCGCTCAGTTTGTCACCTTCGCTCATGTAGCCATTTTCACAAGTGGTAAGGCGCTTCTTACAGCCCTGATTTTCCTGCAAACGGACAGTGTAGTCAGATATTGTACACGAGTGAGCTACATATGAGTTGTATTTTTCCTGTCAAACAAAGCAATATACCAAACAACTCGCTCACATTTCACTGTGCATAACTGAGTTTATTCGTCGTGCAATGTCGCAACCCATGTTAGTTGGGTCCCTTGTCGCCACGGAATGGCGCGTCCTCAGGTCGCGGCTGGAGGAGACGCCCACCAGGTATGGAAGGAAGCTGTGAATATATTGAATAAGCAGTCGTGAACAGCCGATAAGGGGCGGTCCTCCAGCTGGGGTGTTAGGCGTGGGAATAATTCCTCGCCGTAAAAAATAACTTTCTTACGAAAATGCACGCAAAGCCTCGGAGACGGGAGGTTGGAGAAAACTTCATAATGAGGAGCTTCATAACTTGTACTCTTCTTCAAGTATAATTAGAATGATCAAGTCACGGAGGATGAGGTGGGCAGGGCATGTAGCACGCATGGGGAAGAAGAGGAATGCATATAGAGTATTGGTGGGAAAGCCAGAAAGAAATACACAACTGGGAAGACCAGTGAGTAGGTGTGTGAAGAATATTAAAATGGATCTTAAAGAGATAGGATGGGATGGTATTGATTGGATTGATCTGGCTCACGAATGGGACCAGTGGAGGGCTCTTATGAACACGGTAATGAAATTTCGGGTTCCATAAAATGCTGGGAAATTCTTGAGTAGCTGCACAATTTGCGGCTCCTCAAGAAGGGCTCAGCTCCATAAGTAAGTACAATGTCGCAACATGTTTCGGCTCATCGAGCCAACAACAGGCGATACATTGGAACTCGACAGCCGACGAAAGCAAAAACCTCTTTGTTTGACAGGAAAAATAAAGCTCATATATAGTAATAACACACAGCAGGATGCAGCCCTTAAAGATTAAAGAGATAACGGACTTTTAGAAATTTTGTGGAAATCACAGCCTAAGGCACTGAAGCCAGAAAAATGTTGAATGTAACTGGTAACCCTCGTCGACGGTTGGTATCCCTCTACAAGGAGAGAGGAAATTTACGAATTATGAATAAATATGTAGTAGAAGACTACCAATCTGTTACCGACAGAAAGGAAGGAAACATTATTAAAGTAGGTGCTACGTTGTTATGGTAAACTGTTCTTGGACTGCAAAAAATCCGTGATATTTTTGTTTCTCCTATCTCGTTTGTTCTCAACCATTGTGAGACTGCAGCCCGGTAAATTCTTATTTTATAAGAGGAGGGCCCGGGACTGGGCCGCGGCCCAGCGGTTGAGAAACACATTTCCGTCCACGTCTATCGCTCGTCGTTTCTTCATATTTGTAAACTTTGTTACGCATCTTCGTCACCAGATTGCGCTGGACTCAGTAGTGGGAATATGTCAACGTGTGATTGGTTTCAGTGACAAATTGACGTGGACGTATGCCGTTGAATGTGTTCGTTTTCGCCTGCGAAGAGGTTTACTTATGTGTGTAGTCAGTAGCAGTGTATAATGGAAAAGAACACAAAATTTCTTGTTTATGCTGTTGGAATATTTGTATGCTACTTTTATTATGGAGTACTTCAAGAGAAGATAACTAGAGGCACTTATGGTGAAGATGAAAATCAAGAAAAATTCACGTGTATGCTGGCGTTAGTTTTTTTCCAATGCGTTGTGAATTATATATTCGCGAAGATCGTGCTTGCGACTGTGATGAAGCAGGGAGAAGACAATACGAGAACTTTATATTACTCATCGAGTGCCCTTACATACCTGCTTGCTATGGTGTGCAGCAATATGGCCTTGCAGTGGGTTAACTACCCCACTCAGGTAGTGGGCAAGTCAGGAAAACCTATTCCTGTTATGATCCTAGGAGTGCTGCTCGGAAGGAAGAATTATCCTCTAAGGAAATATCTTTTTGTGCTACTCATAGTTGTGGGTGTAGCAATGTTCATGTTTAAAGATGGTAGATCAGGTGAAGGAAGTTCAGTAGTTGGCTTTGGGGAGTTCCTACTAGCACTGTCTCTGATGATGGATGGATTAACTGGAGCCATACAGGAACGCATGCGAAGTGAGTATAAGACGAAATCTGGACATATGATGTTGAATATGAACTTATGGTCCATAATTTACTTGGGAGTGGCCATCATCGTCTCTGGAGAAGGCCTCGTGTTTGTGAACTTTATTCAAAGACACCCAAGTCTAGTGTGGCAGTTACTAACGTTCTCAGTCGCAAGTGCTCTGGGACAGTTCTTCATCTTCCTGACTGTGAGTGACTTTGGACCTCTGCCTTGCTCCATTGTCACCACAACACGCAAGTTTTTCACTGTGCTTGGCTCTGTGATCCTGTTTGGGAACACGCTTCTGATCAGGCAGTGGTTTGCAACTGTCATTGTGTTCACCGGTCTGTTCCTTGACAGCATGTATGGAAAAGCAGTTGATAAAATGAAGTAATTACAACTTCAAGTATAGGCGTAAATGAACTTCAGTTTCCTTCTTCAGGAAATATTGCAGAGATTTTTTACATTCAGGAGGTCTCATCAGGCATGTGGTCAGAATTTGGTGTCTTCTGGTGGTGACAGGATTTGGTTGAATGAATTGTGAATGTGTCACTAGACTTGACCTTTCATTTGAGATGCTGATTGTTGTTACATGTATTGTCCCTCCGTAGCCAAACAGATACAGCTTGCTGAGTGAAACCTGGCAGTAGCTGGGAATAAATCCTGACATGTGTGTAGGAGCAGTTGCTCCAACAAACATTTTCTTTTTTATGTATGCAGACAGTAGATCACATCACATTGCATGTCATGTTCAGTGCAACAGTTCTACACATCTCTTCAGGGGCCACAATTTGTGCTTTTAGGACCCAGGAGAGGAGTGAAGTTGGGGGTCCAGACCTTCCGTCTTTTCTGAGAAACAGATTTTACATGATCTTTAATATTTATTTTATAAATTTTGTTATTATATGGAGGATATCTATTGTACAGGCAAGAATACTATGCTGCTTATGTACAGAACAAATTTGGTTTGATATTAGTGATGCCCAGCTGGATCTGTAGTCTGTTCTGAATTCTGAACGCTGCATAGATATGTGAAGGGAAGCTTGTATGTGTGTAGAGGGTGAGGATTTTGACAGGACAAATAAGTTTCTATGGACTCTGTTTTTATAGCATTATTGTGCCATTAAAGAAACTGTTTCACCAGTATACAGGCAGAGAGATTGCAATACAGAGTGGTACAATGAGATGGCTGTCATGTGGACTATTGTGCTGGTTTGTATTCCTTGGGTTATGTAGTCTTCTTGAGTGAGGCCATGTGAAGTGACAGGCATGGTCCATATGTGGCCATTATTGAGTTATTTTGTAGCCCATGACAGTGTAAATATCAATATTCAGTTGAATACACAGTCATGGAGAGAAGTGAATTGATAATTTCAGTATATCATGATTAATGTACTCTGTTTCAAACTTAACAAGACAAGGTGTCACCTAAATTCTAAGTTATGTTTTGGAATACTGTTTGATTTTGTACTTCTTTTGGCTTATTTTGGACTTCACCCATCATCTGGTATGTAAAAGACAAAAAGACAAAAAACCACGACGTTTCGGAGACTGGATGTCTCCGTCTTCAGGTGGTGTCTCAACCACTGGAGGTCCAGTGGTTGAGACTAGCTCTTTCTAAGGGGCCCAACTGAGTAGGTTTATCCTTCCCTATCCACCTGAAGACGGAGACAGATCCAGTCTCTGAAACGTCGTGGTTTTTTGTCTTTTTGTCTTTTACATACCAGACGATGGGTGAAGTCCAAAATAAGCCAAAAGAAGTACAGTATACACCATCGTCAGAATCCTTTCAAGTCTATCTGTTTGATTTTGTCTAGTCAAAATACCTGTACCAATTCATAACGTTAAAACCAATTAATGCCACCAGAAGCGGCAGACTTCTTGAAATGCTGGGGAATGCAATGGAATAAAATGGCTTTGAGTGCATGCGATTCTTGCCCTCTGCCTTACGTCAATGCGGTGATATGTCAGTATCTAACAATGTAAGAAACCATTGCAGTGTTCTTGTTTGATCCGTAAGTTACTTTACAATGCAAAGAATGTTACTTTTTATGAAATATGATGAAGATTTATGCTGTATACGTAGGAACTGAACCAATATAAATATATGACAGTTTTTTAATTTTGATTTGGGAATCTTTCTCAGTGACAATGATAGAGATGGCCTCACACAAGGGAGACTTTATAGCAAATGCTAGGCTTGAAACAGGCTGACACCTGTAAGCTGTTTAAGAACATTATCTCTTGGTCTCCAATGACTTCCATACTTCTTACTTGGCTGTCTGCATAGCATTGCCAGTGATAAATTAGAATAATCTTATGACCGAGACAAGAGCTGCTAAATTTGTTTTTATTTAAAGATGTCCCATTTTCATGATCTCATATAATGTGAAGAAGTGTGTTGTGATTAAAATGCATTAAATGATCAAACCTTAATGCACAAGGCATTTGTCTGAAGAGTGTAGTTGATAAACAAATGAAAATTCAAATCCATTATCAGTCCTTTTTACAGATCTTCCTAAAATGAAGTCCTGGATGTGTGACTTCCTGCCTGTGATTCTGTAGTCATCCAATTTTATTTTAATTTGCTGCAAAAGAAAGATATTACAGGCCTGTGGTGTGACATGAGCCATGTCATCACGTTACATAGTAATTAAGGTTATGCCACTAGCAGTCAGTAGTGTATTAATTAGTCTTGTACACTTCAGAGCTCAGATATCACTGGACCATTTGTAATTCACTTTTGTTTACTAAAATTATATTTCTCTCCATTTGTTCCTGTGCCACTTCAGACACTGAAGCTCCAACGCCCTTGCCACAGCTCTGTAACCGTGCCATTCCAATTCATCATTTTTCTGTACACTTTTTATGACTGCATGTGTTTGACACTTGTGTAATGCTACACATTGGGTGTCTCAAAATTGTGGATATGTATGAAACAGTATATGTTCAGAAGCCATTTATGTTATGTCACAATGGATGAAATACAGTCAGGTGTTTGTTTTATACTCTTTGCTCTAATGGAATATATTAATTTATTTTTAATAAAACATGAATGGTATAGAAGAAGTATATATTGTTATTATGGAAATTATGTGTTCAAATAAATTAAACTGAATATGAGAGATGCAAGCTGTTGTCACTTCTTGCCCACTGAGATCATAAACTGCTATGATTGATATGTTTTGGCTTCAGAGATCCTTTTTGAACAATATGTAGAGTTTTATGAATCTGTATGAGCCACAAAATACAGCTGTTTTGTCCTCTTGCACAAAAATATTCTTCACTGCTACAAACTTTTGTGGATAGAGTGTGTCACATGATCAGTGCAATGAATCCCCATGGCTGTTAATCTCGGTTTTCTAGACCGGAGCTGCTGTTTCCTTGAAATAGCTCCTCAGTTATCCTCATGAGGCTGAGTTGACCCTGTTCGAGACCCACTACTTCTCAGAAAATTTGGTAGCGCCAGGAATTGAACACAGGACCTCTGGATCTGTAAGGAGGAACTCTGACCACTAGACCACAGAGGCGGTCATTCACTGCTACAACTCAGAAAAATTCTTCATTGTGATGAATATTTAATTGAAGTCTGAATACTTTACTTTGATGGTGTAATATTAATCCCAAATTGCCAAGCTTGCCCAAAGAGTATAATTATAAGTATTAAGCAGTTTTAGTAACACATTTTACTTGAATCCATTGTTTGCACTTCATACAGGCCAATGGACAGACAGTCTGTGACAACATAACAAGAATTTTTTTTATTGTTAAATGCATGAAATAATTATATTTGAATATGAAGAGTACTACACCCGAGTACCAGAAGTCATGGGATGGGTACCTAGTATCGTGTAGGACCACCTCTAGCCCGGCGAAGTGCAGCAACTCGACATGGCATCGATTCCACATGTGAATGGAAGACCTCTGGGGAGTTATTGATACATGCCTTCTGGGTAGTCGTCCACAGTTCCCTGGTATTTGTAGGTGCAGGATCTTGTGTGTGAATAGACCTCTCCACCATGTCCATTAAATGCTCAATTGGGTTCATGTCGGGCAAATATGGTGGCCACACCATTCGTCAGAACTATCCGGAATACTCCTCTAACCAATTCTGTACAACTTGGGCCTGATGACATGGTGCATTGTCCTACTGGAATATCCCATTGTTGTGGGGGAGTCCGTGAAGAGTTGCAGATGGTCACCAAGCAGTGCAATGTAGCGGTCACTGGTTAATGATGTGTTTAGGTGAAAAGCGGTCCCAACCCATACCACATGAACACACCCCTCACCAGTCTGGAACCACCACCAGCCTGCATGGTGCCTTGTTGACAACTGGGGTCTGCACCACACCCGAACCCTTCCATCTGCCTGAAACAACTGGTACCGTGACTCATTGGACGACACCACATGTTGCCAGTCCAGGGTCCAATTAGCGACGACACTAGTCCAGGTGAGGCCATGCCTAGTGTCATGATGTTAACAGGGGCACTCTGGCGGCCCTTCTGCTCCCATATCCCATGGAAGCTAAAGAATGCTGCACTGACCTGCTGGATATGCGTCTGGGACCTCCTGCATTGAATGTGGATGTGATTTCAACCAGTGTCACTCGTCTGTTACCATGGACAATTCTAGCTAGATGCCATTGGTCATGATCTTTAAACACCCGTGGTCGGCCACAGTACTGTCCATGGTGGCTGGTAATGCCTTCCATAAGGTATTCTCAGTACAAACATGACACTGTGGACCGAGGAATGTGGAATGGCCACACATTTTCGGAAATGGAATATCCCATCCATATGGCACCCACTATCATACCCCGTTCAGACTCTGATAATTTGCATCGCCTTCCCATGAGCAGACTCGCCAGTGTTCAGCCTGACTCACGAGAGAACACCTCACAACTGAAACTGCTCTGGGCATTCTCAGGCTGTCAAGGTACTGTGGCACCAAAATTTACATACTGCTATACCATGACTGTTGGCACTTGAGTATGTATATTCAGTAATGTAACACTGTGTAATCTGGTAGTCCATCGAACTACAAAGCATTACATCACAGAAGATAGAACTTTTAATAGTTACCACTGTGAGAATCTGATACTCAATATATTTAGCCATAATTATTTTTTATTCCTGTTTTGTCCCTGAGAAACTCTGTGATGTATTTCAGAGATACTGAATTCAAATGTTAAGCCAGAGTTGACCATCTTCATTGAAGTTGTTTGCATTTATTCTCAGTCTGTGTAGGTGAATGCTGGAATCCTAATGTTAACACAAATGCAGCTGCGATAGCATAGTTTATTTTCATCCTTTAAGCTATGGTACTTATTTTCTCACCGTAACAAACCCAGCAGTTGTGATCCTGTATTTGTAAACTGGTTGTACAGAATAAAATAGAGACCAATGCTGGCATGAACGGAATGAAATAGTCACTGTCATATATTTAATATTTCTGCAATGTGTGAAAAATAACTGTAATTACTGCACAAAGCAGAGATTTCTGAAGACAGGCATGTCATGAGAAGTGTACTTAGACTTGGTTATTTAGCCATTGTTGAGGTACCTTTCGAAATAAGTACTGAAGATGAAAGATTTCTGCAAGAAGCAAAGAAATACGAGTACACGAGTTTGAAGATGTCAGACCTGGACGACTGCCAACATCGAGTGAGTAAAAATCATCCAATAAGAATTAAGTTTGTTAATGTGGTAACGGGTATAATGAAAGTTTTTATAAGATTAAAACAATACAAATTCTGTGCAGGTTGTCGTGAATATCCATAAAAGATGTTCGGATCTGACAGAGGAAGAACTGGCCAAAATGAGCGTGAATCTATTGAACTGTCAGTCTGCAGTGGAGGGGACACAACATTTTCCCTGTACTACCAGAATGGTAAGTTCTAAGTTGAAAGGATAATGGCTGTTCACTGGGTGAAGGGTGAGTAGCAGCCAGCAGACTACCTGTATTGGTGGTTTGATATTTACTGAAATAATCTTGCCACATACATTTTGTTTTTCTGTGTTAATGCTAGGTTAGTTTAGGCACTCTACAAATTCACTTCCATCTTTAATGCAACTCAGTTCACAATCTCACCATATTTAAAAATAACATTAAAATTGGAGTCAGCTTTCACAAGTTTCAATTTTATCTGGCCATTCATTCATCCATTCGTTTTATTTAGCATTCATAACAGCTACACCAGTAACACTTGAAGAAGTCACATCATTAAATACATCACTGTTGAAATCCTTTTGCCCAATTCCTAAAGGATTAGAATTTGCCAATAAAAAATAATAATCTTTCCTTCTAGTGTTATATTCATATAAATCTTAATTTCTCATAGAGAATAAATTATTTTTCTGGAAATAGCACGACACCTCAAAAATATACAAGGAGTTAAGAGTTAAAATCTTTAATTTTTTGAAAATAAGTCTGCATGTTGTTTTCCTATTTACACCTTTCATTAAACGAAGTATCCTTTTTTATATATTCAATACTTTGGCATTTTCACTTTCTCCGCCCCAAAAAATCAAACCATAACTTAACTAAGGATTGAAATTTGGCAAAGTAAATATTCCTGTGTATACTTTCAAGGATTTAATAATATTCATATTAAACACAAGGACTGAACATGTGAGCTGAACTTTAGATTATTTGTTATCTTGATACCTAAAAACCTGAACTGTGATGTATAAATTCACAGGCAGCTGCTAACATTTCATAAGCACCGCACAGCACTGGTTCTGAAGTCCAAATATTTCAGTGCTATTACATTTTATCGTTCACACCAAAGTACATTTTTTAAGAACTCAGCTTTTTACCCTTTCCTGCCCTATTTTCCTCTTGTGGCATCCATGTTTTTTTTTGTGATGTTTTATTTAGCTCTATGGACATCAGTGTAGTGTTGTAATCATCATTATTTTTGTGTGCCCCATTAGTATGTGTGTTGCCATGCTGATGTCCATTAGGGCTGAATAAAACAACACAAACGAACATGGATGCTGGAAGAGGAAAATAATATATAAGTACGCATAGTGTGTCGACAAAAAAGACAGAATGACTATGTGAGAAATGCAATTTCAGAGCCTTCAAGAGTGCACAAGTTCGATGGACCCAGACATGTGGAATGCATACCATCTGATGAACAACCGAGCCAGGGCCGTTTGTTATGCTGCCAGAAACCAGCAGTTTCGAGCTCTCTCAGAGATGACAGTCGACAAACTCATGGACTCTGCACACAGCCACCTCAACACGATGGACTCTCTCAAGGTAAGCGACAAAAGGAGATGGAAGTGTCATGTTATGCTTATTGATTCCAAGCCATGGAACTCAGAGTGTGGTCAGGAGAAGAAGACAAGTTTCTTGTGTGTTGCTGAACTGGAAGGTCCATTCGCCTCCTCCATGGTTCTGTAACAGTAAATTTGTATAGGGTCGGGTTGTTAGGCCCACACCCAACCCATAACCTGGAGGACCAGGGACTCCACTTTGTCTGGTTCCTACCATTTTACCTGTCTGAGATGGGTTGCCCTACCAGGAGCTTACACTCACGCCAGCATAGCTCAACAGGTCACTGGGGCGTGAGAACCTCTCCATGATGAGGTGGTAGTCCTCAAGGAGGAAAGGTTCATGGTTGTCACCTCAAAAGCCCATCACACCCAGTTCACAGCTTTACAGTCTGTTTCTATAAGCTCCTTCATGTTAATCTCACATATGTCCTAGAAATGAATGAAAAAACCTCACATCTAGGGTTGGTTGCATTTCTCAGAGTACAAGGGACAGTCTGTCACATTATCATGTGCTCCATCTGCAGGCCTAATTAAATTAGAAGCCTAAAAATTAAAATTTTAATTCACTTTGTCTTTATTTTATGGAATACAAAAGCAGAAATATTGTATTTCATGTGCATATATTAAGTCACTGTTGGTGAACAATGTCTCTAGAGATATTTTGAAATTCACTCTCTTATTATGCCAGCATTTCACCTTGTGATCAACTCTTGACAACTTTATGCTTATCTATGTTGCAGGAAGACCATCAGAAGTTGGAATCACTGACAGCTAGTACATTGGAAGCTGTGTCTTATGGTCACCAGTCCCTTATGGATCAGCAGGAGAAGTTAAGAGTTACCCAACACAGCATTCAGGATTCCGTATCCCTGAATCTGCGAGAGCTGACACGAGAGAAAGTGCTGATAGCGTCAGGTCACCATGAACTTGTCAAGATGATGGATGATGTCAGAAACAAATTAGGTGAGTATGATTTGGTGATTTGGATTGTTGCACTAGAAATTCCTCCTCCAAACTCAGATGAATGTCCTGGAGCAATGTTTAACACCCTTACTTAATGTGAGGGATGTCTGTCTTCTACAGATAATATCTCTCGACAGATTTGCGGAAAAGTAGAGCACTCATCCTCATGACTCCAGTTGAACTGAAACATGCCAGTCTCTGCAGTTTACTAAGTTTGGCCCTGCTGATTTCATATTTAACAACCTCATTCACCCCACTGGGGCATCATAAGTGATCATGGACTCCTCCTACTGCCCACTATAATAATGGTCTTGTTTGTGTGTGACAGATGAGGCGAGTTTGGAATTCAGCAGCCAGGTGAACGAGCGCCATGAGAATCACAAGCAACTGCGGGAAGATCTGCAGACTGTCATGGAGCAGGTGGCTCTCCTCTGGCAGAGGATTGGTAAGGATGCTTCATGTGTACACAGGACCTTACTGCTAGTCCCTGTTCTTTGCTGGATGAATCTAATTAACTTCAGTAACAACCAGACCTCTCCATCTGTCTCTCTTCCCAAAGCTTCTTTGCCTTCTCAGTTTCCTCCCATATTCTTCCATCCTTTGTGTCATTTCTTTCCTGATCTCTTGTTCTTGTTCAAAACCTTTGGGATTCTGGATTCAGTCACTTTTATATTGTGCCTTTACCATCTGACTGTGTTAACTATTAGTCTATTTTACAATTTACTTTTCTTTAAATTCTGTATCATTCTGCCATTTATTATTCTTTCTCTTCTGGTTTCTCCTTCTGTACTTGGCAAAGAATTACATCTCAGCTGCAGTTAGTCTGTCAATATCTGCCTTGGCTTGTGTCCATACTTCTGCACTACGCACTGACATGGGCACAGTAACTTTTAAATAAACACAATTTTGCCATCTCTTTCATGGTCTGATTCCAAAGTAGATCCTAGCGAACTGCTAAGCTCCCATTGCTGTTGCAATGGACTGGAACCCCCCCTCAAATATCCATCACTCTTTGGTTTCTCTCTCTTTAATATTCAGTTTCAGTGATCACACATCAGTGGACTTGGTGTTAAATGACCTTCATTTAACGCTTCCCTCACTTTAGTTCAAGTCCACAAATTGTTCATTGCACCTCAGAACTAACATGCAGTTTATATTCTTGCTCACAGATCACAGCACGCAGGAGATCCTTGCACGCCATGAGTCGGCAAGAGCGCAGTACAACTCGGCACTCTACAAGCTGTCACAGATCAGTGCCACAGTCAACTTCCTCCTGGATCTGCTGGACAAGACCAGACAGGTAAGTGTTTGTGGGCACATGCAGTTTGTCGTTGATCAGAACCACAGGGAATTGACAAATTTAAGTTCAGTACATTCCCTTGAAGTACTGAGCAATGTTTGATGAAATTGACTGCTTGGAATTACAATATATACACACCTTCAAGGGTGCCAGCAGGGGGTAAGGGGAAGGGCAAAAAATTGAAAAAGAAAAAAGGAAATAGACTTGTCTTCCCCATTTAAATATTAAAAATAGCACAAAAAATCGTGATCACTTTAATATGGCCAAATTGCTCCATTGGATACAGAATGTGATTTGGTAAGAGGTTGACGAAAATGCGAAACAACTCGCTCAGCAGCACACGAAAGTGTTTTGAGATGTCAGCTTTCAGGTATCAAGGTACTCTGTCCTTCGCAGGAAACTGATACATGCATCCCAGCCATCTGACAGTTAACCGTTTCTCTTGAAACATCCTCCCACACTTTGCAGTTTTATCGTGATGTACATACTGCCACTTGTGTTATTGTGTATCGGGTCCTTTCCCTCATTTTGTCACTGTTTGTTTATGTTTTATTTGTGCATTTGTGCAGTTGGTGATTCATTTCTGAACTGTTTTTTAGGAATTTGATGAGCGCCTGGGCTGGCTCAACAACCTGACGCCGGATACTGGCAACCAGCTGGATCACCTTTACAGCTGTGTACTTCACTTTCTGTACCTGATTGTGGGAATGATTACTGCAGCATTTATCAGAGCTCCGACCACCTCACGCGCTTTCCTCCTCCTCTTTGTGCCTCTGAACCTTGCTGTCACATACACTCATGGGGACGCAGCTGCCCTTAACTTCCCATCCATGACCATACTCATCTTAGCGTCAACAGCAGGTAAGTGTTACTGAGATCACCTCACTGTTTGGTTATGTTGGGTTATATTTACAAGAGAAACAAGCGCAGTGTTGCCTGCTTGTGGAGTTGGCAGTCAAAAAACAAACACAGACTCACCACTTCCATACTGAACTTTAAGTCCAGACACCAACACAGATTCATTTTCTGTGGTCAGTGTGTGTGTGTATGATCAGCTTGCTGAGGTGTGAACCCAAGACTTTCTGAACCGCCTGAATGAAACGTTATGTCAATTTTTATTGTGCCCTAGAACAGTCAGCTTGCCACTGTTTATAATGGTGCTTGCTTTTTTTGCAGCCTGCTACGTGATCCAGAGAGCACTACATTATTGGACATCCAGACAGCCGAGACCCGTGTCCAGCCTTCATGGCAGCCAACCACAGCCAATGACCAATGGGTTCATTACTAACCCATTTCCACCTATGAAGCCTGTTGCTGTTATGCTGTCTCAAAGGAGCAGCATAAACATGCTATCGCTCTTCGCTGGAGACCCTGGCAGAAGACTGAAGTGTAAGTTGAGTTTGAGAGGATCATGATCAGTGAATGCTGTCAGTCACAGAACACTTCAATTCATATATCTTTGTCTCTTTGCAGCTCTCGTGAACAGATGCCCTAGTCCCTTGAAGTCCATGTCAGCTGCTGCCTCATCCAGAGGGGACTCTCCACGGCCTGATGAGAGGGTCCGCATTCTGACTCCCGTGCGTGACAGAAACCTAGGTGAAGGCTCAAGTGGCAGTGGTGAGGTTGCCCTTGGGCTGGCCCATTTTGCAGAGGTGAGTGGAGACTTCTGTTTATGTCTTATTCCAGTTACATGAGAGACAGAATGTCATTGGTCTCCCAGCAGAGAATTGTTTTGCTATCATACATCTGGAGGAACCCCCATTTAATGATCTTTGATTTAACATTTTCCCCTAGTTAGCACTGAATTTTGATGATCACAAGTCAATAATCTCAAGGCTAGATTTCCCCTGTTTTATATTTTCTTCATTTTATTCCTCAGAGTCACTTGTGGCTCCATAGCTTTGCATCATGTTACATGGGATCAACAGAAATATAGAAATATCCAGTCACTTGCACGGGATATTCTCTCGCCAGGCTCCCGTAGCTCATACATTTTACGTGAAATGTTTTCATTCATTCAGAGAGTTGTACTAAATATATGTTATATTTATTTTGTTAGCGCTCTGCAAACTCCAACAGTTGCAGCAGTAACAACCGCCTTGTTCAAGCTGGCACATCACGAACACTGAGGCGGCGCTATTCCACACCGGTCTACGTCCCACCCACACCCAAACCCACCTCTTCTTTTAGGTGAGTTACTGTCTTGTCACCTTGTTCATTAGTTAAGTATTTTTCACTTCTTTATTTTAACTTAAATTCTTTAAATAATTTTATGTACTTTTGGTAACATTTTTTGTTTTGAAGGATTGTGTGTTAGGGAATTCTGAACAGTAAAAATACTCTTTCTTGCTGACAGGATTGTTTGCCTTTAGAAGGGCCATTTTGTAAAATCAACAGAAGGTTAATACTGGGGCCATCACTGCTGTGCCCATTGTTTGGTACAGTTATTCTGATCCAAGTGCATGTGACTGTTCCTAATCCATAGCGACTGCATTCCTGAAATTTGCTGTGCATATGGAAGGTGCACTGAGTGAACACTGGCATGGTGCAGCAGTACGAAATGCTCTGATGGATTTATTGAATCAGAACAGTGGGGCAAGGGAGGAGAACTGCTAATGCAACACTTTGGGCATGCGTAACAGCAGATGTGTGAAAACACAACAGCAAAAGCATTATAATGAATGTCAGCCATACTGAACTAAGGAAACTGAACTTTTAATCTGGTTAGTGGCCGTCTGAACTCTCTTGTTTGTCTAGGTCAATGTAAACTTTTGATTTTGGTTCCTCATTTCAGTTTCTGTTGGTGTTGCATTTCTGTTATGTGCGTGACCTCTTGCATTTTTCAGTTCCACCTGATAACTTTCAAATCAGATCACAAGATTGGTTCTTTTGCTCGGAGATCTCCCATTTACCTGGGTTCCACATTTTCATACTGCATAGCCATGAGCATTTTCTCTGCCTTTACTGTACATATTTAAGTCGCCATATTTTTGGTATCCTTCCCCCCTTAACAATCTGCTTTGCTTTGTTGTCCACAGTGGAACACCACGCCGCAGTCCACCAAGACCTGTATGCCGTGCTATCTGTCGGAATGGCCAACAGTGTCACACCAGTGCATCTGTGGGCAGTGATCTGTGTTGGAGACACACCTCCTGATCATCGTTTTGCTGATACTGAAAGTTATTAAAGGTGCTTCCATACTGCAGATGGTCGTACTGTTTAACACTGGTACCCGTGTGGCCCACCCAGCCACTGTGCCAGGTACCTGTCTCAACATCTGAAATGCGGCAGTAGAACTGACACACATACTGGACATTTTCTATCATCCTTTTCTGAGTAAAGAAACACGTGTTGGTAGCTAGGAAATCTGCTATCTGCTCTGAAGGGTCTATTATATGCAGCTAATCTTTGCCCGGGTTTGAGGAATGATGGAAAATGCCCCATATATCTGTAAGTCTAACCACACCTTCATCCCATTTAATAGTTATGGTAAACCCTCGCTAATCAGGGTTAACTGGGAGGGAGAGGTAGAGAGACAGAAGTTACAAATTAACCATCACATGAATTGGACACTGTCAATCCTGTAATTTTAGTTTCGAAAGAGACGTTTAAACTTTCTAATCATATTTATTTATGCTTTCTTTTCACTGTGTCCTATTTTTTATTTTCAACTGTATAGTTTTGTAGTGTTTTTCTAAGCATTTGTACTAGTATTCAGTTTAGTTATTTTAAGATGTAGTAGGAAGCACCAGTATAACAGTGTAGTATGATACTGGTCTCAGTTGTAGTTTGAGTTGCGTACACTGTGCGCTGGCTCTGTTGGAATGCTTGTATATTGCTAAATAAATCTGTAAACTAGAGACTGGCTTCTCTTTATTATTTTATTTCTGATTTACTTAATGATTCTATCAGTAGCCTTGATTGTATAGCATTGAAAGGTAGGACGGGCGAACAGTTAACTGAAAAGTATGGGGAAGGGTGCAGTTGTGCTCTTACTTTGAGGCACTGCCGTGGGAAGTATCAGCTGTAGACAGAGTTCTGTGTCAGCCAATGAAGTTTCACAGAATCCATATGCCTGCTATTTCCACTTACTTCATTAGCACTAATGCCAATCCCTACACAGTGCACTCAGAGAGTTCACTTCAGGAGTGCCATATTTATGGTTAAGGAGAGAAGGATCTCGGAGACAGAGTCTCTACTCTTTATGTGATGATGCTAAGGTGACTAATTCATAGAGGAAAGTAGAGGCAACAGGTTCCTGTGAAATGTTCGTAATCACCTACCAGCATACATTATCTAGAACCCGGAAGATCACATTCTAAATGTTCGCTCCTCTGATAACCTCAGGTTTCACTCATAAAAATGTTCACACAAACATTACACAATTTTTCTAAGAAATAAATACTTATGGTACGTATACTTTTGCAGCAGTGAATCATTTGCACATTGCTGTCTTGCTGGGTGTGGCACCATGTTGTAATGTGGCTGGTGGGTACCAGTCTCTTGGAGCCTCGTGGTGGAAACGGCTTCACCTTCCATAACGGGAATTTCTTTTCCAGCCACATATGGTAAGTACAAACTGAGGCAGGCTTCCTGTTGAGGTTTACACGTTTATGTGGGTCATCTAACAATTAAGCCTCTCCGTCTGTGTACCTGAACTGAAAATGCTTTAACAAGTCATGGAATTTCATAGCCTACAACATGCATTCTGACATGACTACAGTGCGCATGTTAATAGCGTTCAACATAAGGAGATCTGCTGCGAGGTCTAATTACACTGCACTGCTCTGACGCTCACACGGTACGGTCTTGTGCCCATGACAGCTGCCCACTGCTGCCTTATCCTTGCATGCTCTCTGAGGCTAGAACTGTTTTCCATTCTTAACACTCTGACTTCCTTCACACTTTACAGAAGGAAATCAGATACCTGACGTTTTAACCAGAACATGCCTATGGGGACTTGTTGAAGAGAAATTGTAAGCTTGGGCTTTGGGCCTTGTTTCAGTAACGAACTTGTACAGTTGGCAGCCCTGAAGTGATGGCCAACAGGTGGTGAATGTTGAAGTTACTTGATCCGTTAATATGTACATACTGACAGCTTTCATGAACTGTCATCTCCACTGTGATCTTGGTCTGCGTCTTGGTAATTTTTATTTAGTTTGTAATTCAGCTCCTGGATTGGAATTTGCTCTTGTGTTCGTTATTAGAATGTGCTCATATCTTTTTATTCTGTATTTGTTCTGATGTCTGCCAGTTATTTGAATGCTGTCAGTATCGTCAGTATGGATATCTGCCTCCGATGTGTCCAACATTGTCACAGTATTTGGGTGGTTGTTTGGGCGGTTGTTTTGAAAGACATCCTTTGCCTCCAGAGCCCCAATAACCATAATTTTCAGGGTTCCTGCTTGTGTCTTCTTACCTTCCGTGGTGCTACTGTGTTTCACATTGCCTGATTGTACCCCCTCCCAGAGCATGGTTGCTGGAGTCAGACTTTGGAGCAGACAAGAAATTCAGAAGGAAAGAGAGAAGACTGGAGACTTTCTGCCTGTCAACTCACATGACACGGAACTGATGCTAGAAGCAGAACTTGTGTTGCAACTTTTCTTCCTGGTTTGTTGTGACCGATCGATCCTGTTTTTGTGTTCCAGCACAGCAGCAAAACGAGCAACAAGAAGAGGGCATGGCGGTCACTGAAGCAGATTGTTGCTCAAGAGAGGGCATTGCAGTGGGGAGAAGATTTTGTGCACTGTAAGAGAACAAATTCATGGAGGAGCATT